CCGGCCGAGCCCCCGCCTCCCTCCGGCTCCCACCCGCGGGGGAGGGACGCGCCGGGACCGGCGGAAAGCGGCAGCGAGCCCGGCCATGGGGGCGGCCCCGAGCCGGGACCCCCGAGACCCCCGGGACCCCCGGGACCCCCACGCCCGCCGGGACCCCCGGGCCCGCCAGGACCCCCGGAACCCCCGGGACCCCCGGGCCCCCCGGGCCCCGCCGCGCCGGTGAGTGGGGAGGGGGCGGCTCGCGGCCCGGGGTGGGTCCCGTTCCCCCCGCAGCCCCTTCCCACGCGTGGGACTGCTCCGGGCTCGCTGCGGGGAAGGCGGCCAACAGGAGCGTGGGATTTATTTTGCGGGAGAAAGTTCCTTTCCCCTTTCTCCCTGCCCCTCTCCCCTCCTCCCCCGGGTACCGGGGCTCCCCAGCACAGCGGGGCTGCCAGGGTGGGCTGCCCCCGGACCCCCGGAGCTGGCGGGGGTCTGCAGGCTGGGGAGAGCTGGGACCGGGCTGGGGGAGCTGCTCCCCACCACTGGGAACTGAAGGGGAGACACTGCCATCAAAAGGAAAAGTGGAAACATCGGTAAATCAACCAAAACATCGCTGAGAACAGACATATTCTCTTTAAGCGCGGACCCTGTAAGGCGGTGTGTTTGCAAACAGTGGGCTCAGACGAGGAAAACAAGTGCGTTCTGCCCTTGTAACTGCTCGGTCCTGCCTTTATTTCCCGCAGTTATCCCCTACCTAGACATTAGACGTGTTTTCAGCTGGAAAAGCCGTTGCAGCGTTCCCTGTGTGGCTGAGAACGGGGCTTCTTTCTGCCCTGTTAGACTCAGCTGTTTCTCCTTCCCACCTGTTTGCTCCACCTTGAGCAAACTTTGTTTTGTTCCTCCTGCCCTTTACCATCTTCCTGGTCCCCATCCCTGTCCTGGCTGTTGTCCTCACTCTTTATTGTCCCCATTCCTGCTGGTCGCCCAGGTTATGGGTTAGGTTTCCCAAAATGTCCGAGTCTGGAGTAAACTCAGGGAGATAAGGCCTGACAAACACCTGATAAAAGCATTCCTGCCACATAGCACAGATATTTTTCTCAAGGGAGCAAAGGAGTTGAAGGAGGAGTCAATAAGCTGCATGATGAAGGCAGCTGCTTGTGCTCATCCAGCATCAGTGTGGAAATGGGGCTGGAGCCTGCTCCTTTTGAAATGAGCTGCACCCACACGAGTGCACCAGCGAGATTAAGCTGTGCTTGGCATTTTTAACATGCAGGAATGGCAGAGCATTCATTATCCCATCGGTCCTTTTCAGTGCAGCCACAAATGTCTGTATTTATCCATTTGCTGGCAGTGTGGCATGGAAAGGCAGCTGGAGCCGGGGCTGGCTGCTGGTGTCCAGCTCGTGTGTGACACTCGTGTCCTTCATTTCTATTTCTGTGGTGCTGTTTTGATGGAATGTGCAGCGATGGGAACTGTCACATCCCGGGCTGGGAATGGTCCCGAGGGAGCTGAGCTGCTCGGCAGCGCTGTCCCACACTGGGCATTGCTTTGGAGCTGGGGAGCACTGCCACAGTGGGTGACACCCCAGTCCTGCTGTGACACCCCGGTCCTGCTGTGACACCCCACTCCTGCTGTGACACCCGGGCTCCTGCTGTGACACCCCGGTCCTGCTGTGACACCCCAGTCCTGCTGTGACACCTCAGTCCTGCTGTGACACCCCGGTCCTGCTGTGACACCCCGGTCCTGCTGTGACACCCCAGTCCTGCTGTGACACCCCGGTCCTGCTGTGACACCCCAGTCCTGCTGTGACACCCTGGTCCTCGTCCTGGTCCTGGCAGGGAGTGAAAGGCCCCACTGCAGAGGAGCAGAAAGGCAGGAGTGGAGACGAGAAATGAAACCCCCCAAAAGATCAGTTTCTAAGCTGGAAAAGTCAGCACTGGCTGCTGTGCCCAGGAAAGCTTCAAAGCCAGAAATAGGTGTTCTCCTGCCTAATGAAAGGGCTGAGAAGGGAAATTCCAGGTGCATGCCTTCCTCTGGCCTGAGGCACTGCCACAGGTGTGGCTGTGTGATTCCTGTTCCCCTTGTGCCCTTCCTGGGCACCAAGGTGTGGGGACACTGAGAGCAGCTGTGCACGCTGTGCTTTTGGGGCCAGGCAGAGTCACTGCTGCAGACAGCCATAAGGGAGTTCATCCCCGTGTGAAGGGAAGGTCCATCTGGATGGGATCTGTTATCCCTGGATGCAGCTGGCTTCCTGCAAGGATAAACATGAAAAGCTAAGCAAGGTTTTGCTTCTTCTGTGATGACAGAGCTCTTCTAGTTCCAAAATATTTGGGGCTCCACCTGTCTTCTGTGCAGCAGGGGCCGCTGCTGTCCCCTCCTGGAAAGTCCAGGCAGTGGGAGAAGCGTGGGTGGGATTTTAGGCAGTTAACGCAGCCGCTGCCAGAGACATCCATCCATGGGCTGCACATGCCCAGTCCCTGAGCCGCTGCGTGTGTGCAGGGCTTGGCACAGGGAGTCCTGTGACAGTAGTGAGGTGGCACAGCGGTGCCAAGGACAGCCCGTCCAGCTGCTGCCTGGGTGGGCTGCATCTCTGCGAGGATGGAAACTGCTGGCAGGTGTTTTAAAACAGGTCAGCATCCTCCCTGCTCTGCAGAAATGTGTTTGCTGACTGTGCCAAGCAGAGGTTGGCAGGCAGAGCCTCCGCTGTGACTGACAAAGTCAGGTTATCTCCTCGGTGGTGATGTGCAGCCAGTGTTGCTGCCAGGCTGGGTCAGGTGCCAAGCTGGAAAATGCCACTGGAGGCATTTTCTTGATTGCTCATCAGGAACAGCAGGTGGAAGCAGGCTCTGCCCCTGCACTGCTCTGGTATCTTCCTGCCCCAGGGCCCTGCAGGTCAGGAGCTCTGCAGCCGGTATGGTTCAGTCCTGCTGAGCCCGTTCCTGCCGGGATTGGGGCTCCTCGCTGGAGCCATTGCCTGCACAAGGACAGGTCCTGATCATTTCCCGCACTCGTGTGCCCCAGTTCCCTCATCCTCAGCCTGTCACATGCAGCTCCTGCCCTCTGCAGCGGAGGTGGCTCGTCCCTGCTGCTGTGCCAGTGCTGCTGCTGCTCCTGATGCGCTCACTCGGCTTCTCCTTCCCCTGGCAGAGCTGCTCAGCTGCTCACGGCGGTGGTGCCATCACCACTGCGGCTCCTCAGCTTCTCTGGGAGGTGGGAAGGGGAAGCAGGAGCAGGAGGAGGATGAGCTCAGGCTGCAGGTGTTGCTGCAGCACGGCTCATGCTGAAGATCTGATGTAAGATTCATCTGCAGAAATCAGCTCTGCCGCTTTGGAGAGGGGAAGTAGGCTGTGTTCTGCTCACGGCAGCCACGGGCAACAGGATGTGGAGCTTCTGCTTTTGCTTCAGACTCATGGGTTTTGGCTAAGCTTCAATATGAGGCACATAGTCCCCTCTTGCTCAGTGTCCTCTACACGGCAGTAAGGCATTGTGCAGGGTCCCTTGTCCCCGGGCCCTGGGGATGTGGAGGCCAACATGGTGCAGGGGCTGAGGTGTTCCCTGGGCCTCTCCTGCCACTGACCTGTGGTGGGAACTGGCAGCACCTCAGCTTTGGTTCACCCAGAGAAATCTTTGGGGAAGCTTAGAAGTATTGTGGAAAGGAGTAAGAGATTTTCTTTTCAAGAGGATGGGCAGTAGAAGCCCACAGGAATGACACATATAGCTAATAAGGACACCAAGAGAGGGAAGCCTGGAGAAAGGATCCCTGCAGGGAGGTTATTTGAGATGCTCAGCGTGAGTACAGAGCCCTTTGAAGCTTCGCTGGTGTCAGAGGCAGCCAGACCAGACGGACAGGTCTGCTCTGGCCCGGGGGCCTCTCTGTCCATGCAGAGGCATTCCCAACTCCCAGCCTGGCTGATGATTCCCAGGGAAGCCGTGGGCTCAGCCTGCCATGGGAGCTCTTGGTGTGGTCAGCGAGGGCCAGCAGCTCTTCTCTGCAGTGGGCCGGGCTGGTTTCACAGCAGGACAGTTGTCTGCCATTCCTGAGGCCATCCCTGGGACCGGGGTACACCAGTCAGGGGTCCAGGGAGCTGCCGAATGTCCCGAGCCAGCAGTGCCACTGCCCATGACAGATCCACTGCCAGAGCCCTGGACACTCCTCACAGCGCTATGGCCATGGCATGGTGTCAGTAATGTTATCCTCCTCTCTCTAGCAAGCGTGTGGGAGGTGATGAGTTTGGGAGTGGGAGCCCTTGTTAGGGGAAAAGTTCCTGAGGGAAAGTTCCCGAGGGAGGCCAGCAAGGTTGATTTCTGCGGGAACTGCTGGCTGCTCTTTTTAAACAGCAATAGTTTAATAAATAAATAAACTTGCTGCCACGGAAGGATATAGCATCAGCCAGGGCTGTTGAGGCCAGTATTTCCTTGGAAAATGGAAAGGACAGGTGTTTCCCTCCCCTCTGCCCTTGCCTCCTGTGCTCAGCTCCTCAGCTCTGGGAAGCCGCTCTGCCCAGAGGGAAGAGCCTTCCCGGTGGGACCGAGTCTTCCCGGGTGAAGTGAGAATTCCTGGGAGCTGCCCACCCCCCAGGGCAGCTCCCCACCCACGTGGGGTCTTCTCGGGCACGTCCAGAGTGGAAAGAATTTGCGTCCTGCCGGCTCTGTGACGGCACAGGTGCAACCGAGTCACTGCGGGGATCCGGTTTCACGGTTCCCTGCCCTCTCACGCGGGGGCGCCGCGAGGGGTGACAGCGGCGTGCCCGGCCCCGCCTTTTTGGGCAGAAATCGGCGAATTTGGGAGTTGGGATAGGGAGAACGGCGGCTGTCAGCCCCGGCAGGGAGGGGCGGCCAGGCGGGAGGCGGCGGGGGCGCCGGACCGGGCGGGCGGCACCGGGGGCGGGCGGCACCGGGGGCGGGCGGCACCGGGGGGCGGGCGGCACCGGGGGGCGGGCGGCACCGGGGGGCGGGCGGCACCGGGGGGCGGGCGGCACCGGGGGGGGGCACCGGGGGCGGGCGGCCGGGGGGCCGGGGCGGGCGGCCCGAGCGGAACGGAGCGGGGGCGCGATGGGGGCGGCGGCGGCGCGGCCGCAGTGAGTGAGCCCGGCGGGCAGCACAGCAGCGGGGCCGATGGCGTTCAGCGCCTGGCAGATCCTCTCGCCGGTGCAGTGGGCCCGCTGGACCTGGTCGGCGGTGCGGGGCGGCGGCAGCCCCGAGGAGGGGGACGGTGCTGCCGAGGAGGATGATGATGAGGAGGATCGGGACCCGCCGGCGGGGGGTTCGGCCCTCGGCTTCAGGCAAGTCGCCCGCGGTCTCTCCCCACCGCCCCTGTCCCCGCTCGCTGCCCGGCTGCCGGGGATCCCGCACCGCACCGCACCGGGGCTGGGGCCGCTTCCCGCAGGATGCTGCGGGGCTGCATGTCCTTGGAGGCCCGTGCTGTGTGCTCCGCTCCCGCAGGGCGCTGCTGAGGATGATGTTTCACCTGCTCTCCCTTTTCCGTTCGCTAGCATGTCCCGCTGGACAGGAGATGCCCAGGGCCAGCCCGCGGCCTGGCTGGATGTGTGGGCGATGTGGAGGATTTCAGAGGTAGCCTTGAAAGCAGTAATTCCTCACTCTTTTCCCCCCCCCTCGGCAGCTCGGACTCCACTGATAATTTTGAGACCCCTGAAGCAGAAACACCAGCCTGCTCGCCACTCAAGGAGTTCTGCGAGCCCCCGGGATTGCCGGAGTCTGAGGACCGGAGCCAAGGTAAAGAGCCAGCGTGCGCCTTCTGCTCTTGGTGCTCTGCTCCACTGCCGGAAAGGCAGGGTGGGGTCAAGGAGGACAATTCTCTTACTTTGAGTAATGCCTGGCACACTTTTAGTGGTTAATGGCCTGGCCAGTTCAAATGCCAGGGCTGGGCTGGGCGCTCCACAAAGAGCTGTGATGGGCTGATTGGGAGGAATCCGAGGGTGCTGTTGAATTTTTTGTCAGTTAAACGTTCCTCTGAGACTTCCTCTGCAGCCTGGGGACTGCCCTGACTGCTGCTGGCTGGTGGGACCTTTCTCATCCCTGGTTCTTGCCCAGGAGTGGCAAGATGCCCAGTTTGTGTCCCCCAGGCTGGTCAGTGGTAGGGATTTCATTGCACAGGCCATTTTTCCTTGGAGTTAGGTGCCAGGTGTCCTCACTGAGCAGCTGCTGTTAAAGATGCAAGAGCTCACTGCTGTTAAACCCCATTTTTGAGAAATTGCAGGGGATCTGCTCTAACTGCATGGCATTTCCTTTGCTGGTGGGTTCTGAGCTGTTTTTGCAGGTTTATCCATGTGTCCCACACTGCTGCTGCTCCCCTGAGTGTGGCTCCCCATTAGCCCATGGCCTTCTGAGGACCAGCTCCCTACTGTATCCTTACCCTCCTCCTCAGGGGTTTGTGCTGGTGTCCATGGGTGATCCTGGTGTTTATCTCTGGTTTTGTGCTGCTGGGAGGAAGCTTTGGAGCTCTGGCACTGCTGCAGCAGCTCACGGGAGGTTATCGGGGCAGGGCAGGGAGGAGACCTCCCCTTCATCTGCTCTCAGTAGGGCAGGGTGGCTGGGAGGTGCCAGGGTGTTTGTGAGCCCTGGGGTGTGTGAGTAGCCTCTCCAAGGCACAGGGCAGTTTGTGGTGGGTCAGGCAGTCCTGGACAGGCCGTCCTGAGCGTTCCCTGCCCTCTCTTGCCCCTCACTGCTGTATGTGATGTGCAATGTTGTGCAGCAGCCGTGGCTGGGAACTTTTTGTGGGGCTGGTTTCAGAGCACATAGGCTCAGTCCAGACCGTGGGTCCTTCTGTGCAGAAGCCCAGGCACAGGATGCTGTGGCTCTCATTCTCCTGTGGTGTTATTCTGCTTTGGGGTGGATCTGGGGCTCATCCATCCCTGTGGAAAACTTGTGTTTGTTTGCTGTGATGGAGGGAGTGCTCTGTTCATGCTTCCAATAATCACAGCTCTTGGAATAATCCTTTTAGAAGGGATGATAGAGACATCTTTACTTTGGGGATAATGCCTAGGAAGGAGGGAAGAGATAAAGGCTTTCCTAGCAGGTAGGAAGATCATTTCTGTCACAGCTTAGGGAAGTGCATTGCCTCAGACTCCAGAGTATCACTGTTCCCCTGTGTGCCTGTGCCCCTTGTCCTGGGATGAGCAGCTCCCGCTCAGCACTGAGGGAGTATCTGCTCCTGCACACAAAGCTCCCAGTGTTCTGGAGACGGGGGCATGATCTCCAGCAAAAGCTGGTTTTCTGTGCTGGCTGGCAGAGAGTGGGATGTCGGGGCCAGCAGAGCCAAACTGCGGTGCCACCACACTTGGCTCCAGCCCTTCCCTGCCCCTGAGGGACAGCGAGGAGCAGGCACTGTCTGCTGTGCAGTTGGAATAAATAGGGTGAGGAACGACAGAAGCTTTGGCTCCAGGGCTGGCTGCTCCATGCACAGCCAAGAGGTGACCTGGGTGTGTTCAACTCTGCCCTTGGGGACAAAAATTCAGCCCTGGAGGGGGCTGCAGTGAGGGTTTGTGCTCACTCAGAATCAGTTTCGGATGATGGGACTAATTCTATCCCACTCTTGCTGGAGGTACCTCCAGTCATCTGCACAAGGAAATGAGCAGAAGCAGCAAACCCGGAGCCATGGGTGCTGGGAGCTGCTGTTACCCTGATGCAGGACACGGTGCTGGGAGCTGCTGTTTCCCTGATGCAGGGCACGTGTTTTCCGCTGCCTTAGCAGCATCCTGTGCCGGTATGCTAATTCTTAACAGAATAGATTTAAAAATAGATCAACAGCCGTTAAACACAAAGGGAAGGCAGTGGCTGGTGGTGCAGGGCTGAGCTGGGTGTGTGGGGCAGATATCCTGTGCTGGGACAGGGAAGTGTGTGACTCACAATCGCTGCTGCTTCCCCTGGAGCTGCCTGTGGGATGCAAAGGGCCCCTGAGCTTTGCCTGGCAGCGCTGCCCAGTGCTCCTCTCCGTTTGAGAGATGGCACGTTGGAAAGCTGTTTAAGTCGCTGTTTGTGTTTGATTTCAGCCCGAGGTAGACGAGCGAAGCAATTCTAATGCAGAGGCACAACATGTCTATTACTGCGGTGCCAGACTGTCCTGTCTGTTTTTCTTTGGAAAGCAACAAATCTCTGTTTTCACTTTGTAGCATCCCCTGCAGGTACTCACCTGGATGTGGAGCAGGTTTGCAGCCTGAGCACAGCCAGAAGTAGGGGTGTGGGTGAGATGCAGGTGCCCTGTGCTGGGTGAGGCCCCTGCAGGCCCTGTGTGTGCTCTGACAGTGTTCCTGCTGGGATTAAACCATCTCCCACTGCAGGGCACAGTGCCAGGGTGGAAGGGGCACCTCGGGGTCACCTTCCCGGGGTGCTGCAGTCAGGAACCTGCCGGGATGCCCGGCTGCTCTGAGGGGCAGAGCTGTGTGGGTGCCAGCCCACCTTCTCCTGGGTGTGCAGCACAGGAGTGGCCCAGAAGGGGGATTGGGCACTGAGAGGGCTGGGGGACAGCTGCGGGAGTGGGACAAGCTGGTTTGCCTGGCAGGAGCCACAGTGAAGGGAGTGCACAATGTGACTGCCTGGGGCTGGGGGTGGGGCTGGCACTGGGGCTGGTGCTGGGACTGGGGCTGGCACTGGGGCTGGGGGTGGCACTGGGGCTGGGGTTTGGCACTGGGGGTGGCACTGGGGGTGGCACTGGGGCTGGGGGTGGCACTGGGGCTGGGGTTTGGCACTGGGGGTGGCACTGGGGAGCACTCACAGGAGGAGCCAGGAGAGCAGTGGGCAGCGTGCCGGGCTTGGGGAGGGCTCCGTGCGGGCCAGACAGGGCTGTGCTGGGGTATCACCAGGGCTGGGCAGCTGCAGGGCTCCAGGCAGAGAGCTTGGCTCTTCTGGGCACCACTTTCTGCATCCTGTGTAATCCTTCCCACGAGAACAAGCTTCTGTCACTCTGCACTGGAGGCAGAAGAAATGTAGAGAGGGAGGAACGAGGGGAAACCCCCCTGAGCTTGCAGGAGGGAAATTTGTGCTGCAAAAGATTTCCAAAACCACCTGAGCTGCCCTTGGCCTGCGCCTCCTGCCTCCCAGTATATCCCAGTTCCTTAGCTCTCAGACTGGCTACGGGAGGGGCTGAGTAGCTGAGTACTCCTGGGTGCAGAAAATGAGGGAATCACTAAACTGGAGAACCTGGGTAGGTGCTTCTTCTGATTTTTGTGGGAAAAGGATTCTGAGCTATGGCCACACGCACCACGCTCCTTTCCTCCCCGCCCTGTAGACAGAACAGCGTGGAGAGGCAGTTTGTGTGCTGGCTGCTTGTTATTCAAGAAGTAATTACTCATTGCTTGGGTTAGAAACCAGGATGGGCTCATGTCTGTGAGAACAGCGGCTGCCAAACCTTCCACTGGGAACGCAAAATGCACTTAAATAGTCCTTTTGCCCTGACTTTGAAGTCTGTTCTTCTATTCAGGGCTGTCTCAGGAAGGCTTCAAACAGCTGAACAGCACAGCAAGTGTAATAAAGTTTTCTTTGGGGTCTGTTAAGGAGGTTTTCCTGGTTCCTAATGATGGGAAGGCCTGCCAGGCGCTGCCTCAGACTGTTTCCTGGCTGCACTCCAAGTACTCATCCACTGGATTTGTGTTTACTGATGCATTTTCTGGGGCATCAAGGCAGCGTCTACTTGGAGGGAGCTTTTTTTTGCAGTCAGAGGAAGCATTTTTGCAGTCTCAGGGAGGACACAGACCCTCATGATTCATTTTCATGGCTTTTAGCGTCCTGGGGATCAATTATGCTGACCCTGAGCCACCAACTGAGTCAGGATTGTTGGCTCCACGTCCTGGATTAGTCCTGGGTCCAGATATTTGCCTGATTCCCTGTTCCTCTGCCAGCCCATGACTCGCTCTGTTACCAGCACACATGAGCTGGTTGCAAATGCCTGGTGATAGGAAAAACCTCTCCTGGCTGCTCAGGGATGGGGGCTGTGGGAACATGTGTTGGTGTCCCAGGCTGCTCTTCCCAGCCAGGTTTTCAAACCAGGTTGGTCCTTGGGAGAGCATTGGTTCTGTTGTGCTCTTGGAGAACCTGGCTGACTGTATCTCCCCTGAAAGGTGCCTGTGAGGGCTGCAAAGGCCACATGCTCCCTGATGGGTGCTGGGCATCCCAGCATCCTGTCTTGCCTTCTCCTGGAAGTCTGTGCAGTTGTCCCTGCTTGAGGTTGCAGGAGAAACAGGAGATGTTTTCCTCTTGTGCACACCTGCACCACAAACCCAGCTCTGGGTGCAGCTTTCAGGGTGCCACAGTAGATAAAGGATCTTCTCCATCCTTTGATGTCAAAGAAAAGATAAAACACTAAAAGGATTGAGGGGAAAGGATTGGAGTAATGGTGATTAAGTCATGGATCAGGATTTGTCACTGGAAGATGCTGACAGCGGTGTGGAGAGCCTGGTGTGACTGCAGCAGGATTTCTGCAGTGGAGAGGCAGCTTGTGTGGGGCAGCTTCTGCTGCCTGGTGCCCATCCAGCCCTGCAGCCCCAGCGCTGGGTGACCCCCAGATCTCTCCTGCAGCCTGTTTCTGCTCCTTCACTGAGTGCACCTTCCCATTCCCCTCCTCCCTGGGGCCTGCTGGTTCACATTTTGTGCTGCTGGCTCGTGTTGTGCGTCCCTGAACTCTTCTCACTGATTTTTAGCTCTCTGCCCAGGTGGGCAGGGGCTCCCTGTCACCTGGCAGGAGGGAAGCTGAGTTGTGAGTGAGTGAATCCCCCATAAAATCCGACCCTGGAGCAGCTGTGAGGAGGAAACAGAAAACCCTCTGCAAAGGAGTGCACTGCAGGCCAGGGTTTAACCATCTCCTTTTATCTTTTCAGAGCCAGGTGGCCATGGTGACCTGCTGGTAGGGGAAACCCACTGGGACAGCTCGCCTGGGAAACACCCCAAAGATGAGGCTGAACCAGAGATTGGAGCCCCTACAGCCAGTTTGGATGCTAAAGGGGAAACTGAGCCAAACAACTTGTCCCTGATGCAGCCCCTGGCCGGGCTGGGCTGCAGGGCTGAGCCTGCTCACGCTGCTGAGGAGCCAGGCCCCCTGCCCCATGCAGGCACAGCCACCTGGGAGCTGGCCATGCCAGGAGGGGACACTGGCACGGGGCTGGCAGAGCTGAGGGCTGATGCCCTGGGCCAGGAGCAGCTCGGGAAAGGGAAAACACCTTATCTGGGGAGGAGCACAGATGGAGCCACAGAAGAGACCCAGACATCCTACCAGCTAGACCCTGAGCAGCATGGCAAGAGTGTGAACACCTTTGTGGCAGGGGCCTGCCAGCTGCAGAGCTCTGCCCCAGCAGCCCCACAACGCCTTCCCCATCCCAAGCTGGGAGGGGACCCGGCTCTGGAGGCCCCAGGGCAGGTCCCCAAACTTGGGACTGATTGTACCGAGGCTAGAGAGAGTGTGGAGGCCAAGCCAGCTTCACCCAGGAGGGGCAGCAGGATCCCAGCCAGCAAGCTGACACCGAAGAGGCACAGAGAGTCCCCCAGGAAAGCAGCTGAGGATGTGGAGAGGGGTCCCACGGAGCCGCCCCCACCCCGGGGTCCCACGGGCTGGGACAGCCCCGGCCTCAACTCTCTCAGTGGCAGCTCAGCGCTGCAGAATTCACCGGTTCTCCCCAAGGGCTCTTACCAGTTTGACCCCAATAACTTCGACTCCATGGATCCATTCAAGCCCACCAAGACACTCTCCAGCACCGACGCTGACTCTTGCTCCACTGCAGATAACAGCCTCAATGAAATCCTCGAGTCTCAGACACTGGAGATGCAGGACGATGCCCTGAAAGGCAGAGACTCCCCCAGGAAGCCCAAGTCACGCCTGATAACGTGAGTGCCACTGTGTCAGAGCCGGGGCTGCAGCCCCCCGTGCTCCCCGTGGGCAGGCAGAGCTGCTCTGCTGCTGCTGGTGGAGGAGGTGATGGTGGCAGTGCTGGAGGTGGTGAAAAAGGAGGCAATGGTGGTGGTGCTCCTGCCCTGGTGCCTCCTGAGCAGGCCCTAGATCCTGCTGTACACCTCAGGTTCTGCTGGTGGCTCAGTTTTATCCACCTGTCCCCTCTGCCTGTGAGTTCCCCTGGTGGGAGCAGAGGGGCAGGTTCTGGAGCAGTGCCAGTGTCCTGAGTCCCAGGGGAAGGCTGGGTTGGGACCTGCTTGCAGGATCACCTCTTTGGAAGCCCCTTGGGGGTCCAGTTGGTGGGTCAGGGTGTAGATGTGGTGTCAGAGGAAACCCGCAGGGGAGGCTGGAGCTGATGTATTTGATGGACTTGTGCAAGGATGTGCAGGAGCTGGTGGATGCAGGTGTGGCTGGTCAAATGTAGCTGAGACATTTTGTGAGCTGTTGCCGAGTTTCTGTTTTATGTCAGAGAAAGAGAACAGGTTGGACAGGTAGTCTCTCACTCTGCTGTCGGATTCTCCAGTGAGAAAATTAGATAGTGGGTTTTAACAGTGAACGAGAAAACGTTGCAGACAAAAATCAGGCTGTGTTGGATGTTTGTGTCCAGGAAATACTTTACAGAGAGTAGATAAAACATTTGTAAGAGCTGGTGTTGCCTTGCGTGGCTGTGGGTGAGCAGAGGCAGTGGGGAGGGGAAGCAGCAGGGAATTCTCTGCTCGCTCTCTGTCACCTTGGAGCAGCACATGCAGCAGAATATAGCCCTGGCAGTGAGGTCTGTGTTTGGATCTCACCCCGCTGCTGTGCACAGCAGAGGCAGGATCAGAGTGTCCTGTGTGTGTGTGCCTTCCCAGAGAGTGAACTGGGCAGCTCACCGTGCCCCTCCAGAGCAGAGTTAACATCCAGGTCTTTTCACACGCTCTTCTTCAGGTCTTTTCACACACTCTTCTTCTCTCCATCTGTCTGTCTCTCTCCCTGTCCGTGCTTTGGTGCATCAGGACTACTGAGCAAGTGAAATTTCTCTGTTTTCTGTTGTAAGTACTCTCTCCTGTATTCCTTTTTTTTTCCTTTGCTGTTTTTGTCCTCTCTCTGGGTGTGTGCTGCCCCACTCGTCTCCATGGCATGCTGGCTCCTTCTGCCCTTTGACTTGTGCTCTCTGGTTTGTGTCCTGCAGCCCTTGGCGGGGTCCCCAGGGTGGCCTGGCCTGGTGAGTGACTGGGAGTGAGGGAGGAGAGGAGAGCTGAGCTGGGCTGAGCTGGGCTGAGCTGGGCTGAGCTGCACTGGAGCACACGCCTGTGCTTGTCCTTGCAGCATGAGCCTTGCAGCATCTTCTGACGGTGGACACGTGCTGAAAACCTTCAGCTCATGGAGGTTTTTGCAGCAGGTTTTGTGCAATCCAGAGCTGTTATCTTGGTGCTGGGGGAGCTCAGACCAGCTGCCAGGTGATGGGATAACCCTGGCACAGGAGAGGGTGCAGAAAAGAGGAGGGTGAAGAAATGCCAAGTTTGACTTGCTCGTGGCAGGGCGTGGGGGAGAAAACCAGTCCCGAGCAATTCTTCAGCGTGACCCAGGTGTGCATGGCAGCGTGCAGAGAAACCCCCGTGTGCCACCCACGTCGCTCGCTGTGCTCTGCGGTGGGCTGGGGGGGCTGGACAGCAGCACAGGGTGGGGGCAGTTCCATGGAGCTGGGAACAGCTCGCTGCAGTCCTGCTGGAGCCTTTGCCTGTGTCCCCACTGGGGAGTGCCGTGGTGGGAGCTGGAATCCCTCCCCAGTCCCTACAGTGGCTGTCACACGAGCTGTTCCAGCTCAGCAAGCATCTCCTGGGGGTCAGAGCTGGGAGATCCCCGAGTGTGGAGTGTGAGAGGGTGAGATGCAGGAGGAGAGCTCATGCTGTCCCACCCACATTCCCAGTGGGGCTGTGCCTGTGCTGCCGTGGGCTGGGCTGATGCCCGGCAGCCCTGCACCGATGGCCTCTGGATGGGTCTTCAGGAGCGTGGGCTGGAGTTCCAGGGACAGCCTCCTCACTGGAGGGCAAGGAGACCACCTGCAAGACCTACTTGGGCTAAACTTCCCACCCGAGGGGCCTTCTCCTTGGGACAGCGTTTGTGCCAGGCGGATGTTTGTTCGAGGCACAGCTCCTTGCCCTGGCCGTGCCTCACCTGGGAGATGAGGATGCTGTGAGGAAGTCCCAGATAAGATTCCAGCTGCAGGGCAGGGCATGAGACAGCCTGGACATGGTTCTTCCTGCAGCAAGTGGATGTGCACTAAAGCCTCGGGCGCTGTTGCGCCGGACACGCCGCGAGGAAGATCCTTCTGTGCCAGCGCCGTGGCAGTGCCTCTCTGGCCATCGGCCTCTTGAGTCCTTGCTCTGCTCCTTACCTTCCTCAGGAATAAACACCTCACAGACAAACCCAACTTCTGTCTAGTTGTGTCTTTTGTTTGCCTCTTCCTTCTGTTCCCCCCAGAACTCGCTCTGCCCGGCGTTCAGTGGTGAGTGGGGTGCTGGCACGCGGTGGGTGCTGTGCTGGGGCTGCCTCCCCCTGCTTGGGCTGTCTGGCACGCACCCCACGTCCCCCTCACTGCCCTGAACCCCCCTCAGCTGCTGCTCCTCTCTCCTGCAGGAGTGGCTGCAAGGTGAAGCAGCACGAGGCGCAGCCCCTGGCCCTGGACATCAGCGCTCAGGTACGTGGGTCTTGTCCTGGAGCTGTGGGCTGGCCAGGGGTGATGCTGGGGTGATGCTGGGGAGAGCTGGGCTGGCAGAGCTTCAGGCTGGCTGGGAGGTTTTAAGCCTTCCATGCTTTCCAGCAGCTCACCTGGTGGCCTGATCCCCGCAGATCTTGTTTATCTGCCTGCTTTGACCCTGCAGGATGAAGGAGTGTTGATCTCAGAAATCCCAGCCATTACAAACCGGGATGGACGTGCCACTGATGAGGAGAAGTTGGCCTCCACCACCTCCACGCAGAAACCAGCAGGGCTGGAGAAGAAGGCTGAGGCAGAAGATGACCTGGAGTACTTTGAGTGCTCCAACGTCCCCGTGTCTGCAGGAAAGCACAGAGCAGAGGCAGGTGAGGAACATCCCTCTTGCCTTCAGCTCTGGGAATGCCCCGTGGCTGCACCCAGGGAGCCTCTGCAGCCTCTGGCAAGGACTTGGTGCTGCAGCCTCATCAGGGTTTATTTATACTGACAGGGCTAAAGGCTGCTGCAGGTTCTGATGGAACCTCCCATTGCTTTCCTGCACTGTTTCCAGTATGGAAAACAATGGTCAGGCTGTGTTTATTTGGGCTTTGGGTACAGAGCACTCTCCCCACAATGCTGCAGTGGGATTTGGATCAGGCAAGAGGTTCCCTCCCTGCCAGTGCCCCCCTGACAGCAGTGCTCACTGCTGAGCGGAGCAATTCTCCACCATTCAGAGCATCCTCCCCTGCTCCTGGGCTGCAGGGTCCCTGCTTAGAGCCTGTGCCTGGAGCAGAGCTGCCAGGACTTGTCACAGGGCTATGGCTCATGGAGATCTCAATAATGCCTACACAGACCACAATTATTGCTCCTGGTGGAATTCTGCTGTCTGTTTCCCACGTAATTAGCCTCTCTGACCAAGCCATTACAAAATAATTAAAAGCCAGGCAACATGACATTTAATCAATAGCCAAGTCCTAGGTGCAAGCAGGAGAAATCACCCCGGGGGTTTGCAGCCTCCCCTCTGCAGGAAACCATTAATCATTTCCCCCGATGGCTGTGCTGGGTTGCCAGCTCCGTGGAGAATGGTCCTTTGTCCTCAGGGGAGGAAAATCTGACAGTCAGGGGAGAGGCTGGAGGGTTTATTTATTGCTGCTGGTCTCCCAGGGCCAGGCAGGTGCATGGGCTGGGTGCTCTCTGCAGCGATGGGCTGGGAGCGGTGGGTGCAGCTGCTGGCACCGGGATAAACAGAGGGAAGCAGTGGGAAGTCTGCAGTGTCACATTGCCTCCTTCCTCTCCCAGCTGAGCTCCCTAAACACGCTGCTCTCTGCCTGGTTAACACATGAATCGTGTCTGTGTGAGTGTGAGCCATTAATTACCCTTTGCTACGTGAGGCAGTGCCGTGCCCCCAGCCTGGGGTGTCCCTCCTGAGAGGCAGGGTGTCCCCCAGCTCAGGGTGTCCCTCCTGAGAGGCAGGGTGTCCCCCAGCTCAGGGTGTCCCCCCTGAGAGGCAGGGTGTCCCCAGATCAGCGTGTCCCACACCTTGCAGATGGGGCAGATGTTGTTTACCATGTGGCAGGTCCTTTGGAGGGTGAGGGACCTGGCTGGCCTGGGCTGGTGCTGGTGGTCTGAGCAGCTGGTGTGTTCCAGCACCCTGCTGAACGTCCTGTGCCTCTTCCTCCCCCTCAGCCTCAGTGGTCTCAGGAACGGGTGGCAGCCCTGGGGACATGGGCACAGGCTGGACTGCCACCAGAGGGGAGTGTTGGTTTGCACTGCAGGAGTGCTGGAAGGCTGGCAGGGTGCACATTGTGGCACCTGGGGACAGGGTTTGATGGTGACCTTGGCAGTGCTGGGGACTCAATGGTCTTGGAGGGCTTTTCCAGCCAGAATGATTCCAGCAAGGGCAAGAGCTGGGGGCAAAGATGCCTTTGGGAGGGGAAGCTCAGGGGATGGGGAGACTCAGAGGTACCCTCCTATGTCTCAGGAAATCTGTGTGTGCCCAGGGTGCTGTTTCCAAATCAACTAAAGGTTGTGTTTCATTGTCTTTAGGTTTTGAAAAGGAGATCTGCAAGCAGATGGAAAAGGGAGGGCCTGGCATCTTCCCTGTGAGTGCCTCTCGCTTTTTTCTTTCTGAAATGAGTTTCTTTGGGAGGTAAAATTCTTGACAAGCCCACGCAGGGACTTGATAAAAATAGCTGAGATTTCCCAGCAGGCCTGGAGGAGCCTGGCAGAGCTGATCCTGCTGGGTGGGCGCTGTGCTGGGGGAGGCAGGGGGGTGCTGGGCACAGGGCAGGAGCTCTGCAGAGCCAGGGCTGCGCTGGGAGGGCAGAGGACAGTGAAGGGGACAGCTGCCAGCACGGGTTGTGTCTCATGAGGGTGTCCAGGGCTGGCTCTGGTGGCCCCTTAGTGCTGGTGCCTTCTCCAAGGGACCCTCAGCCCTCAGGAAGGCAACGGACCGCAGAGGTGGGGGAAGAGTACAAGAGCCCTGCTCTGCAGCCACGCTGACCCTGGCAGCCAGCAGCACTGTGCTGGACACCCCTGACAAGCCCTGAGGAGCCCCAGAACCCCTCTGCTGCAGGGGCACCCTGTGCCAAGCTGGCAGCCCCTGGCTGAAGCAGCTTGGCTTGACGAGCAGAGGACAGTGAGATTAGCACCATCAGCAAAACCGACCTCTCTGAGGCAGATTTAACTGCTGAGCCCCACAAGGACATGGGGCAAAGAGAGGCTCTGGTCCTGTGGGCAGGCTGCTGTCACCCCGAGGTACCTGCAGGTACCTGCTCAGGTGTACCCTGCTGCTGGGAGATGCTGCGGGAGGCTGCTAAAAGCACACCCCTCGTGGTGGGGTGCCTGGCCCCAAACCTGCTCCCACCAGCAGCCACGGCCACAGCAGAGCTGTAGAGCTGTGAAGGGCTCAGGGAGCTTGAGCTGAGCAGCTGAAATGCTGGGGGGAGGAGAGGGGTGGGGAGAAGTGCTCCAGTGCTCTTGTTTCAAACCGTGAGGAGCAGGCTGCCTCCTGCCTCCCAGCACTTCTCTATTTATGGCAGCCCGTTCTCAGGGAGATGCTGCATGGCTGTCACTCGTCTGGCTGGTGAAAGGAGGGGCAGGCAGTGCCCCCAGTTTGTCCCTGTGGCACAGGTGGGGCACAGGAGCTGGGCTTTGGGAAAGGAAGGCAGTGAACAATGGGGGAACAACAAGCCAGTCCTGGTAGAGGCACCCAAAATGGCAACAGCAGGGTACCAGGATCTCTGTGTGAGCATCTCTTGTTCCAGAGCTCTCCTGGAGCACCAGTGATGAGTAGGGCTGTCCCTTGGAGCCCTGCTCTGCAGAGGGGTGAAGTCTGCTTCCCCCACAGCTTCCTTGGACATTTGGGTGAACATTTGGCCCCGGAAATGTCCCTGCAGCTGCCAGCAGCACGTCAGCTGCAGTGCTGTCCTTACCAGACTGGGAGGGGCTGGAGACAACCCAGACCCTTGCAGATCCCCCCCCAGCCCGGCCTGTGGCTCACAGCCAGCAGAGACCCTCCAAGCCGGGGATATTTTTAAACCAGCCATGGGATAAGGGAAGTTGGATGTGAGCACGTCTGTGTGTGCAGAAAGGGAAATGCAGTAGGTGAGCAGGTGCTGATAAAATGGGAGGTGGGTGAAAAGAACCCCCCAACATCCCAGCTGGGTAATTCCCCCAGGACAATCCCGGGCTGTGCTCCATGGACAAGTGCCCCAGCATGAGCAGGAGCGAGAGTCCCCTGGCTGGCATCTGCCTCAGCGAGTCTGAGAAGGCAGCTGTGCTCACACTCATCAGAGAGGAGGTAACAGCCCTGTCCCCTGTCCCCTGGGCTGCCCCTCGGAGGTGACAGCCCTGTCCCTGTCCCCTGGGCTGCCCCTCGGAGGTGACAGCCCTGTCCCTGTCCCCTGGGCTGCCCCTCGGAGGTGACAGCCCTGTCCCTGTCCCCTGGGCTGCCCCTCGGAGGTGACAGCCCTGTCCCTGTCCCCTGGGCTGCCCCTCTCTGGACCTCACCACAGGGCAGCAGGGGCAGCTCTGCTCTGCGTGGGAGGGGGGATCTGATCCTCTGCGTGGGACAGAGAGGGGAAGCCCCTCAGAGCACATCTCAAGGGTCCTGTGTCTGATTGTCCCCAGATAATCACCAAGGAGATCGAGGCCAACGAGTGGAAGAAGAAATACGAGGAGAGCCGGCAGGAAGTGCTGGAGATGAGGTACAAGCTGTCCCCTTGCAGGGCTCTGCTCGGGCAGGAGGCTGAGTGGGACGTGAGGGGTGACCCAGGCCAGCCTCACCAGGCTGGGGTGTCTTGGCAGAGACTTCTCCTGGTGCTGGTGCTGTGTCAGTGTTCTCTTAGTGTCAGCTGCGTCCTGCTCGTTCCTTTGCTGCAGAAATGGAATCCCGTGAGCTGTGCCAGCCCAGTGGCACAAGCAGGTTTTGGTCTGAAGCAGTGCTGATGGGTGGTGCAGCCCCAACATCTGGGCCCTGTGACTGCTCCTGTGTGGCTGCAGTGGTGACAGGACATGGGCCAGCAGGGCTCCTGTGGGGCAGACTGCTGCCAGCACAGCTGGAGGTGCCCGTTCCCAAAATCACTGGCCTCTCACCTCTTTGTTTTTTCTCTTCCTTCTAGGAAAATCGTGGCTGAGTATGAAAAGACCATTGCCCAGATGATAGGTAAGGTGCTGTCACCTGCCAGGTGTGCAGGCAGGGAGCTGGCTGTCACAACTGTTCCCACTCAGTCTCTGTGTTCTTGTTTGTTCTTCATCCCAGAGGATGAGCAGAGGACAAACATGACATCTCAGAAGAACCTGCAGCAGCTCACAATGGAAAAGGACCAGGCTCTGGCAGACCTGAACTCGGTGGAGAGGTCCCTGTCAGATCTGTTCAGGAGATATGAAAACCTGAAGGGTGTCCTGGAAGGATTTAAGAAGGTCCTTACTTTGGTTTTCCCTTTCTCCCTGCAGCTCTGGTCCCTGGACACAGGGTTCCTGGGCAGTGACACCCACGTTTCTGTGCTGCTGAGCTCAATAAGGAGCTCCAGCATAAAGCAGACATTGGGTTTTTTTGAAACCTTTTTTCTTACACTCAGAACAGTATCTATCATCCTGTCAGAGCAATGTCTTTGTGCCCAGTCCCAGTGCAGATGGATGTACTTTCTTTTCCAGAATGAAGAAGCTCTGAAGAAATGTGCTCAAGATTATCTAACCCGTGTCAAGCAGGAAGAGCAGCGGTATCAGGCCCTGAAAATCCACGCAGAAGAAAAATTGGACAAGTAAGGTTATGCATGAGATTGCTGGGTGCTTCAAGGCCTTGTAGGGAAGCAGCTTCATTTGCTTTCCAGAGGCTGGAAGGCAGGAGCTGAATGATGTGAAAAGCTGCATTTTACAACCTCGGGCTCAAGCGTCTCTAAGCAAGGCAGAGCAAATCCCAGAATGCATTCTCTGATCTCTGCTTATTTATTTTTTAATGGAGAATCTGAGGTTCGCAGTCTATTTATGGTCACTTACCAAGCTCCAATCTTTCAGAGTGCTCATGTTTGTGGTACATGAAGGGGCTGTGCAGCCCTGGGGCTCAGCTGATGAGCAGGAGCTCACCAGCACGTGTAGCCCGAGTGAAGTGGGTGGTGAGTGGGTTTAGCTTGGCCCTGAAAGAGCAGAGTTTGGTGCAGGGGCTCGAGGAACTAAATTAACCCAGTCTCACCCAGTTTCCATAGGGGCAACTGTGGTATCCAGGCGAGCAGAGCTGCATGTGCTGTGGTGCTGCTGCCTGTCCCTGAGCTGGCCACTGGCCCCTCTGTCCCCAGAGCCAACGAGGAGATCGCCCAGGTGCGCACCAAGGCCAAGGCGGAGAGCGCAGCGCTGCACGCGGGGCTGCGCAAGGAGCAGATGAAGGTGGAGTCCCTGGAGAGAACCCTGCAGCAGAAGGTAACAACCTGCCCCAGCCTCTCTGCAGCCCTGCCAGCAGTTCCTGTTGCTGCCCTGAGCATCCTGTTGGTGCTGGAGGTGTCCTCCAGATTTTTGGGCCAGAAGGTGTTTTGTGGGTTTGGGTTTTGGGATGGTTTTTTTTTTTTTTTTTTGTGTTTTGTGGGGTTGGCTTGGATTTTTGGGGCAGAACGGGCATTGCTGGCTTACGTGTGCCTGTTTGCAGAGCTGTGGGCTGGGGCTGGCTTGCTGCAGGTATCTGCAGCCCCGAGGTCTGGCTGGGGTGAGGAGGGGTGAGCACGGGGCTCCACGCAGTGCCTGGATGCACAGAGGAGCTGTTGCAGGGAGCTGGCTGCCCTTTCCCACGCATGCTTGATGGCAGATGGGCCCTGATGTTATTCCCCACCTGTGCCACCACAGGGCTCCCCAAGATCTGCTTCTCTTCCAGAACCAGGAGATTGAGGAGCTGACCAAGATCTGTGACGAGCTGATAGCGAAACTGGGAAAGTCAGACTGAGCCTCAGCACCCCTCGCCCAGCACTCTGCACTTGGCTGCTTTTCTCGTGCCGTTATCACCTTGCCTTACCCTGGAGTCCCTGCAGAAAAGCTCCCGTGTCCAGCTGCCCCTTTGCTGCTGGACCTGTGGCTCCTGAGCAGAGCCGCTCCCCTCACTGTCCCTGTCTGCTTCCCACAGCTCGGGGCTGGGATCCCTGTGTCAGCCTGGGAATCCTGTGGGAATCCTGTGGTCAGCCTGGCCCGTGTGTCCCTCCCAGGGCCTGCAGCCCTGTCCCTCTGACCAGTGCCACCTCTTGGGTGGGAGGTGGCACACCTGGCTCTGTCCCCGTGGTTGGGCTGGGTCTAGTTGTGTCCCCACTGCACTCTGTCACTGGTTGTCCTCACGTGCTCAGCAGAACGGGTCCAGCCACGGACGTGGGTGATGGCAGGGCTGGACCTGCTGGCTTTGTGCTGGGGAAGGGTGCCTGGCACAGGGATGGCTGATCTCTGGTTCCTGGTGAAGCACAGCACAGCCTCTCCCTGTCCCTGGCTGTGCCATCTCTGCATTCGTGCACTTTATGAGCATTTATGGGCACTTGGGCTCTCTGCTCACTCTTTCCAGTCAGGCACGACACAGGGCACGATGTGTTCCCCCAGAGCACTGAACAGTCACTTAACCTGCAGTAACTTCAGTCCTCTCAAGGCAGAGTCTGGGTGAGGGGAGGCAGGATGATTCTGCACCCAGAGGTATTTGAGAAGCAGGGGAGATGTTGGTTCTGGAGAGCTGGGACTGCCATCCATCCTCCCCGTGGCCACCCTGCCTGTGGCCCTGGTGCTGCACACATGCAAACCCAGGGCTGGCTCTGTTGACTCCCTGTGCTACGGTGAGATCTGGGCTCCATTTCAGAGGCTGCAGGAGGAAGGAAGCGAATCCTGAGCTGCCTTGTGGGTACTGCAGTAGCTGCAGTGGTGGAGGATTCTCTGCCTTGAATGGATAGGTGTGAAATAAGGGAAATATTTGCAGTTTGGACTGTTTCCTGCCCAGCCTGTTGAACACTTTCACAAACCTTTTTGCTGCTACCTTTTTGTAACAGAATTGAGCTCTTTTCCTTCTATTTTCTAATTCCCTGTGTTGAGCATGCAGAGCAAACACCTGTTTAAGCCAGAGCCATAGACTTGATTATATTTTATTAGTTATATAATATGTGGAGAGTTTATTCTACACTTAAGCCAAGGTGTCAGCAGCCTGCCCCAGCGCACAGCTTCCCAGCCTGTTCTCCAGGCCCCCAGTTATCCCAGTGACAGACTGGTCACAGAAGCCAGTGGCTGACACCACTCAAAGCAGTGCACTTGTTGCTTGTGCTGGATATTCACCCTTTGCACAGTTGACAGAAAAGAAAAACCCTTTCCCCCCTTTCTTTTTAACTCCCTTGACCTCCCCACATGTCCCCTCCTGGGCTGGTGAAAAAGTTTCAATCATATGATGGACGAGGACTATTTCTGTTCCCCTTTGGGAGTCTGTGCAGGTAAAGCAAACCCCTGAGAGCCCGAGATTTCTGGGGCAGTTGGCTTTTTCTCTGAGGAAGCAGTGCAGCATTGCATAAGCTCTCAGGGCTGGTGCTGGGCTGCTTCAGGGCTGGTTTGTGGCTGGGCACTGTGGCTCCCAGGTGGGCACTGTGGCAGCCCTCAGCCTTCTTTGCTCAGGCTGTGGTGCTCATGGGCTGTCCTGGCTGAGGTCAGTCTCTCCTTGCGGCGTGGCTCTGGCCCTTGGAGCTGGTGGATAATTGCAGAGCTTTGGATTTCACCCCTTGCCACTTCCCCAGAGCCCTGACCTGCACACAGCAGTCACTTTCCCCCGTGGGCTGGCTGCAGAGCACGGCTGCACCGTGATGACCCCCGGGACACAGTCCTCCATCCCTGTCCCTGTGCTCCTGTGCCCGTCTGTGTGTACCCAGCCTGGGCAAAGAGGATTCCTACGGAATGATTTATTAACTGTAATATGGTTATAGTTCCCACTCTATAAATACATGCATAGTGGGTATAGTTATATAAAATAAAAGGCGTGTTTGCCAGCAGGCAGGACGGTTGCATCTCGAGGTGATGGTGGTGGTGTCACCGTGACTGGCACAGGGAATAGCAGGTCCCTGTAGGTGGTGTCACAGCTGGGTGTGTTTGTCATCTGTTCCTCACAATAGACTTTAAATGCCCTTTTGGCAGCAGCAGGCCCTGCCCCTGCTGCTGTGTTGCTGTCTGCAGTGTGTGTTTGCCAGCAGATCTGTCTGTAACCAAGTGCCAACCAGTAACCCCCAACTACTGATCCCTTCTCCCGTCCCTCCAGTGTGGCCTCCCCCAGGCAGGAGCTTCCTCTGCATTGGCTCCTGCCTCTGCTTCCAGCCATGTGTGTAACTGCCATCACCATCGGTTTTATATGTATGATAATTTCCCTTTTATATGTCAGGTAAATATTTGTAAGAGTTATACTCACACAAATTAGATTATTATAATGATTACTAATATATTTTTTCCATGTTTCATTGCCTGAGTAAAAACTGTGTTTATCACTCTGGAAAGCTTTCTTGGTGTTTGTGAGCTTGGTGAAGAGTTTTGGGAGGAGTTGGCTTTGCTTTGCAGAATGGGCTGTGTTCTGCCTGTCTTTATTAATGTGGTTTACATGGCAGTTGGTTTCAAATAAGTACAGTTATTATGTGTTCCTGAAATCTGCATTTCTGAGCTTTGAAAGTCAGAGCTGGGATGACTTTCCTGGCCCCGTGACTCCCAGCACACGGTGATGGTACTGAGCCATGGCAGGGAGCTCAGCCACAGGAAGAGCTGAGGCAGCAGCGGGATGGTCGGCAGGAGAGTCCTTGGCCTAATCCCTGCACTGACCCTGACAACCTCTGAGGCCTTGGGTAAATCTTCTGGGGGGGTGCAGGAATGGTTCCACTGGGCTCCCAGCCCTGCAGGGGTTTTCTGTTGTTCTCTTGCACTTCTCTTTTGGTGGGTTGGAAAATCTGAAGTGGTTTTCCCCAATTTGGCTGCTACTCATGATGAGAAAGGGGCTTTTCTCTGGATGGAGCAGGTGGGCTTGATCAAGACCTTTGAAAGCCACCACGAGGTTCTGTGTGCAGAGATGGTTTCCAGAGCAGGAGATGGAGCAGAGCCCGGCCCATCCACAGCACCAGTGTGGTGCTCTGCCCCAGTGCCACTGCCCAGCCCATGTCCTTGGGGAGCTGTGTCCTGTCCCCCAGCTAAGATGGCATTATCCCAGCCCCAGCACTCTCCCAAGCAGATTAGCTGTAAGACCTTAAGACAAAACAGCAGCTACAGACCCCACACTGCACACTGCTGAGGATGCCTGCCCTGAAGACCCTGCTGGCCCTGGCCATCGTCACATCCCTGGCTGGAGAGAGTAAGTGTCCCCTGGCTCCAGGCAGCACAAGGTTGGGTAAATCACTGTAGCTGCTCTTGTGCTTGCTGCTGCCCCGTCCCTGTCACCTGCCTCGGGCCCCTGCCCCACGCTGCTCCCACCCTGCAGGAAAATGATTTTTTGGGGAGGAGGGTGGCTTTCTCCTCTGCGTAGCACCAAGAGAAGCCCCCTGTCCCTTGCCTCTCTGCCACTGGCACAAAGCCCAGGCGTGCTGTGCCCAGCAGGGAGCACAGAGTCTCTGGTCTCCGGCTCTGATGGAGGCTCCTGAGCCAAAACCCTGCAGCTTCTCTTGGCTAGAGCTGTTTCCCTGCTAACCCCTGGTTCCTCCAAGGCATAATCACAAAAAGCCATTGTAAAATGTAGGGGGGTGGCTGCACTGCTCAGAGCAATGCCATGGAGTCAGGGCAGCTCTGGACACTTTCAGGATCTTTGGACCACGGCAAGAAGAACAGACTGTATTTTTAGCTCAGGGCAGATGAAAGGCTGTCCCGTGCTGTGGGGAACAGCAAAGGAGACACGGCACAGCCCAGCAGTGGAAGCCAGGTCATTGTGGGTTCATGGAAGGCGCTTACTGGCATCTGACCCCATGAAATCCCAATTTTCCCCATTCATGGGTTTTCTCTCCCTGGAAGCTCTGGGCCGAGCAGGTCCCGCTGCCACGAGAGGGCTCTGCTCTGTCAGCAAAGCAGAGACGAGTTTCACCTCCAGCACCAGCGCTGGTTTATCCAGCCCCATCAAAACCGAGGATTCGTCATTTCAGGCAGGAGCAGGATCTTCAGGTTTGGGTTTTTCTGGGGTGTGTGTATGCTTTGAGGGGGTCACACAGCTCTTGCACCACTACCAGCTCTGACGCACAGGAGAGAGGGGCTGGCTGCTGTCCAACCTGTCTGTGGACCTCCTTTAGGGACGATCCGGAGATGGCTCGTCCCTCCCGACTCACATCTGCCTGGCACTTTACTGCCTGTCACCCTGCTTGTCCCCAGGCCACACCCTCACAGAATGTGGGAGCTGCTCCCACAGGTTGCATGGATTCTCCCTTCTCCCTCACAAAATATTTATTAAAATGAAATCTGGCACAAGAAAACAAAGATCTATGATGGTTTTAAAATATTACACCTACCTATTTTTACTGTAAAAGGAATTCCAGGACTCTCAGGGAGTCTTTGCAGGGCAAGGACTCGGCAGAGCTCACCTGCCAAGTTTAGGTCTCATCATTTTGAGTCGCACTTGGAAGAGTTTTGCATTAATTTTGTGGACAGGTGAGGCCCCATCCTGCATCCTGCTTCACGCCATGGCAGGGCTCACGGCTCGACTCTGTCTGGTGCCAGTCCTCACCTGTGACCTCCCCTGTCCCTGCACCGGGGGCCAGTGCATCGCTGTCACTCCTTCTCCTCATCTTCACCCAGGCAAGGCTCTGAAATGCCACAAATGTGTCGCATCCAACGAGAACGACTGCAGCCAGCAGGGATCGCACAGCTGCCCGCAGTTCGCCGACGCCTGCTCCACGATCTCCGCGCCCAGTGAGTCCCTTGGCTGGAGGGTCTGGGGGCTGCAGGGGGGTCTGGGGGCTGCTGGGGGTCCTGGGGGCTGCAGGGGAAAGGGGGGTAGGACCGTGAGGTTTTGGAGGGGACCAGAGGGGCTGGGAGCCTGAGGCAGAGCAGGCGGTGGCTTCTTGCGGGCGGGAGCGAAATCCTTCGTGTTCTGTATCCCGTGCCGGTGAAATCCGCGTTCCCGGGAGGGTCTGACCCGTGTCGCCTTGCCTTTCCTTGCAGACAGCATCATTAAGTCCTGCTCCTACAAGTCCTTCTGTGACCAGGCGCGCCGCGGCGGCTCCGGCGGGGCCACCGTGCGCTGCTGCTTCAGCGATGAGTGCAACGGGCCGGCGCGGGGCTCCCGGAACGGGGCGGCCCCGGTGCCGCCGCTGCCCGGTCTGCTGACCGCCGCTCTGGCCGGGACGCTGCTGCTGGGCCGGCCCTGAGCGGCTGCTCGCTGCTCTGGCCGAGGGATGCTCCGTGGGACGGGTCCTACCGCCGCCAGTCCAATAAACGCTGCCGCTAAAAGCCGCGTTCGCAGCCTCTCCTTGACAGGGAAACCAAACCCGCCGCCGAATCGAACCGGTTCGGCTTCTGCTGCCGTCCCGGAGGGCTTTGCCAGGCAGAGCCTGGGATCCCAGCGCACATTCCCTCCCCGCTGCTCCAACAGAGATGCTTTTGGGCTGCTTTCTGCAGCCTGAGGCTCGCTGTGCAGAGAGGTTTCGGTGGCTGCTAACACATGGGGGAGATGTGAGGCTGCTCTGGTGGCTGCAGGTGGTCCCACAACTCAAAGCTCTGCTAGAAGCACTCCCAGGAGTGGCCCGTGAGGCTTGCTTTCGTGAGGGAGAACGGTAAAAGTGAGCGAACGGTGAGGAGAACAGAAAGGGGAATGATGAAGGGAGTGAGGGATGGCTGGGACCATGAGAATTTGACTGTAGTGCAGGAGGAGCAGCAAACAGCAGCTTACTGCTGGAGTCTGCCCCAGTCAGGACACGAGGAAAAGGGGAAGAGGTACTGAAACTGAGAAAAGCAAGTTTGAACAGAAGAAAATAAGTAATTCAGCATGTGCGGATCCAGCCGTGGAACTCACAGCTGGAGGATGCTGCTGGAGCAGAAACCTCGGTGAGTGCTGGAGGGTGAGAGGGTCAGAAGTCCTGCAGAACATGGAGATAATCTTGTGAAGGTCAACGTGTGCCTAGAGAGGGGCGCTGGGCAGCTGCCGCTGGAGCGGAGCACATGGATAGCAGATTATTCCGTGCCTGCTGTGCATCCCGCTATCCTGCCCTCCCCGGGGCACACAAAGGGTGTTCTCCTGCGCGGGGCTCTGGCTGCTGCTGGAATCTCCAAAGGTCCCGGGGCAGAGACGTGACCTGCCCCAGACTTCCCTCATGCCCCCTCATCTGCTGGTGGGGTGTCCCAGTGAGTGCCAGGGTCTGCCTGCACCCCCACACAGGTTACAGCCGAAAAACGCATTGGAAAATCTGGGAGAGCTGCCAGGCTCCCGGAATGAAGGGAGAGCAGCGCTGTGAGTCGCTGCCGTGTGACCGTGCCCGGAATCCAGCTCTGCCCCGCGCTCCGGCGGGTCACAAGGGCTGCGAGAGGTATGAAAATACTCCGTGGAACAGTTTAGTCTTTGCAAAGGGAGGGATGGGGAGAGAGGGAGGCAGGGCTGGAGACCGCCAGGATGCCGGGAGCGGGCAGGCAGCAGTGGGAAGGAGCGGACCAGCGTGGGACGGACAGGGGCTGCGGGTGTCTGTGAGCAAGGTCCCCGCGGCGGCAGCACCACGATCGGTTTCACCCGCGCCGGGAGAAAGTGCGTCGGGGCCAGACGGAGTTTCGGAGAGAAAGTGCGGCTTCCCCGGGCCGGCACGGGGGAGGCAGCGGGTGTTTCCTGCTCCCAAATTCACCCCGAGCTCACTCCAGCAGCAGCTTCCCCAAGAGATGCTATTGCACGAACGGCGCCCCGAAGTGGGCGGCTCATCTCCGCCCGTGCCAGCCTCAAGCACCGCCCGAGTGGTTTTGTGTCGGGTCTGGGGGATTCACCGGGGGGGCAGAGGACCCGCACCAGGCTGGCACTGGGAGCGCACCGGGCCGCCCCAGCCCTGCCCGGGGCCGCGGCAGGTGCGCGGACGGACGGCGAAGGGACCGACACCGACCCCCGCCCCGCGGAGCCGCCCCGCACTCACATCCGGGGCCGGGTTTGCTAATGACAGACGTAATTAACCCGGAAAGAAGCGGCGGCGGAGCCAGGGCACACCCCCTCGGCTGCCCGTCCGTCCTCCCGGCGCTGCCCGGTGTGCGCAGCCCCGGCCCGCCGCCCCCGCCGCCCCCGCCGCCCCCGGCCATGCGCGGGGCGCGCAGCCCACGGACGCCGCGGGGTAAGTGCCGCCGCGGGGACACGCGTGGCCGCCTGCAGGCAGCGCTCCCCCTCGAGAGACCCTCGCAGTCCCATCCTCGTCCCTCCTGCCCCCGTGTCCCCGCGCTTCCCGGGCTGCCGGAGCGGCTGGAGGCGTCCGTTCCCCGCCGGGGAGGCGGTCCGGGGCTGGTCCCCTCGTCCTTGGCGGGGACTCCGGTTCCTGCAGCTGGATCGAGCCCTCCCGGTGCGAGCGGCTTCTGCTCGACGGTTCCTGCAGCCAAGCGTCAGGGGCAGGAGGGCGGAGGGGTCCCCGTGGAGCTCCGGAAATGCTGCAGGCACCATCCTCGCCGAAAGTCTGAGGATGGAGGCAAGCGTGTGGCGGGGATCAGGGGTTTGCAGCTATTCTGTGTGCTCGCCGAGTCTTGGTGGCAGGTGAAGAGCTGTATCCAGCCCGACAGGCTGGTAGTTTCATTAAGGCAGATTTCTGCAATTAGTAGGAGAGAGTTGCTGGGCGCTGCCTACCCCGTCTGTCTCGTGGGTCGGGACAGACGTCGCGGGGTGAGCTCCGGAGCTGCTCTGCAGCCGTAGGTGAGAAGAAGTGGAGCTGCAGCCGCTGTGGGGCATTGGGCAGCGCAAATCCCACCCTGCTGCCATGGAGAGAGGGTCCTCCTGCGCCAGCACGGCTCGGGGGGACAGGTGTGAGAGAGGAGGACGTTGTGGCTGCCCACAGGTGCGATGGGCGCTCTGGAGGGAGGTGCCGAGGAGATGCCTCCGGCAGCACAGCTGTGATGCTCCAAATGCCGGGTCTCCCATCGCCTCGCGTTTTTCTGCTGCAGAGTGCTCCTGGCTTGCTCCTGTGGCTGCAGCTCTGCCGGGGCCGAGCAGGGCACCCTGAGGTGCAGCTGTGACGGTGCAGGGCACCCTGAGGTGCTTCCTGGAAAGTCTGGCTGTGTGGCTGCACACGAGGCCTCTGAGCCACCCCTGGGTGCTGCATGGACAGTGCCCTGGCCCTCCTGCCTCTCCCTGAGGAGCACTTCCCTTTGGCTCAGGCAGGCAAGGAGGTGGTTTTCTGTAAATTTTCTTCTGTGGCCCAATTGCTTGCCATGTCATTCACTGAGTCAGGAAAAGGGTGTCTTCTTGGGTGAGATGTTGTGATTGAAACAGCTGGCAAGTCGGTTGCTTTACAGGTAGGAAAGAGTCCTGGAAATTTCTGATACGCTTCACTAGGAAATTGAGCATTTTCTGGCCCTCCTGGATTTCCTTAGCAGGGTGCCCCACATGTTAGCACAGCTGGAGATGCTACTTTTATCATTTTCTTATGGAAAAGTGCAGTTCTTGGTGGCTCCAAAGAGAGACCATTTGTGTTCTGTGGGCAGTGGGATGTGAGGGGACAGGAAGCCCAGCTGACTTGGTGCAGAGTGTGGGACAATCCCAATCTCCTCTCCCATCCTATCTCCAAGTGCAGCCTGAGGTCGGTGTGGACAGAAGGGCTGAGCTGGTTTGTGGTCTCCCAGATGAGCCTGTGATAATGAAGGATGGTGGTGGGGGGACGTGGGGACTGGGGGCTCATCTCTGTGCTGCCTGTGGCACCTTCTGCTCCTTCCTCATCCGTCTCCTTAGCAGAAATCTCTAACCTTTGCTGTCAGCAGAAGGAATGGTTTATGAGGTTTGGGTTGAACATGCTGGTTGAAGGTACCTCGGGATTGGCTTTCCATGTGCGTCCCCACCACAAAAATAACCCCATAAAAAAGAAGTGAGACTTGAAGTGCCCTCAGAAACCTTTGTGCCAAGGTGCTGCCGTTGGTCTAAAACAACCTCTCCCCCTGCAGCATCACGGTCCACATGAGCCAAGATACCCATCTCTGAAATGGTGGTGGTAGATTGAGATCCTGACTGCAGGTTGACTTGTTTTCTGCCTCCTCTACCTTTGCAGCTGCACCCCAGCTCTTGCACAACCCTCACCTCCCTGGGCCCCACTCCACTGCAGCTCAAAAATAGTATTTCCTCCTTTTCTGCATGAGTTCTTTTATTTGTGTAGCTCTGCTTCTGGCACCTGTGTGATCACCACTCTCCTGCCAGACAAACCACACTGGGTTCACTGACATCCTTTGGGTAACGGCTGCTCTCATCCCTGCCCTCCACCCTGTGCCATGGGGAGGGGACTCTGCCCAGGCAGGGGACATGTCCTGCCCAGCCTTGGGGCGCTGGTTCTGCTCCCCACGCAGGGCTGGAGGTGATGCCAGCGTCCCCACTGCAGCCCAGGGGCCCTGATGGAGACCTCCGGGCTGGGGGCAGTGCTGGGGAGGGTCCTGCCATGGCAGACCTGGGGACACAGCGTGGCCCTGCTGTGATGGGTCATTGTTTTCCCTGCTGACTCGACATCCTGGCTGCACAGATTTTCTGCTGGAGTTGCAGATTGTTCCCCGTTTCCTGGGAGTGTGCTCAGGCTCTCTCTCGCATGCTGCTTTGGGATTTTTTTTCACCACAGTTCTCAGGCATCTGGTGTCTTGTGTCAGATTTTTGGCTGCTCTGTCCTCCCTCGTGGGGTTTGGTGGCTCTTGGGGCTGGGAGTGGTGGGTTGGTTGTTGTCCCTCCCATCTCCCCCTGGAGAGCTCAGCTGTGGCTGAGTGGCTGCACTGCCATCCTGGAACACCTGGCTGGGACGGGGTGGGTGCGTGGATGTGGGGGCAGCTCCCTGGGGAGCAGAGCACCCACCTCCCCCTCCTGCCCCCACCCCACAGGGTGATGCCAGAAGGAGCCCGGCATGCCGTACCTGGACCGACAGAACCGTATCTGTGGGTTCCTGGACATTGAAGAAAATGAGACCTGTGGCAAGTTTCTGCGGAGGTATTTCATCCTGGACACCCAGGCCAACCACCTCCTGTGGTACATGGACAATCCTCAGGTGGGCACGTGTGCCAGGCATGTCTGTAAAGTTGTCAGGGATTGTCCTGTAGCACGTCCCAGCCTCCCTGGAGCAGGCATTTCCTCAGGCCTCCCCAGGTCCCTGCCTGCTGTGTCAGTGTCCGTGACTGAGCATGGCCATGACCAGGCTCCAGCCCTTCTGTGACCTCTGTGGTCTCCAGGACTGCCCCAAGGAGCAGAGCAGGGCTGGTCCCACTGCTGAGGGGTCTGAGCTGGATCAGGTGCCAGCCAGGGAAGTGGCTG